CAACGATGGCGGCGGCTTCCTCTTCCCGCCAACTGACCGTCAACGCCAAAAGAAAGCTTCAATTTGCTGCATCTTAGCAAGACTTCGTTCCGTTACGTGCAAAGAATTCACTACTTTCCGAAGTAAAAACTCGCAACAGGGAGGCCATTGACAGATGAACGCACTTTTCCAAGTCGCAAAGGAATGGATTGGAAGCCCTTCAATGGGAGACAAGAGGCAGTAGTTTAAACAGCGACTCGTCAAATCTCTCCAATGTAACACAATCCTTGACACCGTCCGATTCCGGCGCGGACTTCCTTTGTTGAATCCTGCCTCAGCATTGTCCCCGTTGGCCGCGCCTGCACTGCCTAACGACCCAATTTGCCCTGATCATCGAGCATGGCAACACCCGACGCCAACGAGCCATACGATCTGGTAGGAAAGGACGGAGCGTGCCGTGGGGAAGACGAAGTCAGCGGGTCTAGGTACACGAACGGCGAGGGGGGCTGCCATTACTAAGATTAATCCGCCTAAGTGCCCATTGTTCGCCAATCACGCTGTGGGAGGCGAGCCAAAGGAAAAGGCGCCAAAATTCAAAAAGAGGAAACTGTCTTTTGATCGCGTCCTCCACAATACTATCGCTTTGAAGTGAGAGAGATTGAGAGAGCGAGAGAGAGCGAGAGAGAGAGAGAAGAGTGGCATTTAGGGAATTTAAATTACAGTTCAGACTCTCTTGAATAGGTGATCTTTAATGAAGATCCACATGTTACATTTTTGTGCGCGGTTCTTGCTCGTCTTAATGCCACGGCTTGGATGTTTTAAGCGCGACTGTGAATAGCGAGGAGATAATGACAGCCTCGTAAATCATGTATCATCATCATCATCATCCTCATCATCAGAGAGTGGCTCAACAGGATGTGCGTCTCTCTCGCTCTCCCAAACACACACACACACACACACACACACACGCGCTATCTCCCACACGCTTATCTCTCATCTGTAATAGGTGCCACGCTGCAACCCGGTTATAATGACCGTTGCCGTGCTAGACCTACAGGTCTACAGTGTACAACATCACCACATACGCACCAAAATACATTTTACTCTCCAATAAAAGCCTCCAAACATAAAGGTGGGCATTACCCGGGTGCACTAGACGGGAGACGCCGCCAAGGACGGGTGGAGAAGCAGGCCATAGTGCTCTCCACGACGTAAGCGGGAGATAAGAGCCGCGATAATGCCAGGCGGAGGACGGAGGGATATTGTTTATGCCCGCTTTACGTCGCCGTGTAAATGCCAACTTCTCCCGTCGACAACCTTCGCACCAACACACACACAATATAACAAAAAAAGCAAAAAAAATAAATAATGGAAGAGACGGCAATGCAGATTATCATATTATTTTGTCAGGGGGTAACGAACGGGGAATTAATCATGTATAAACACTGATTTATCTCCAAATTTTATGGTTTCCGTTTATTCTGGTCCTCGTGTCAATTATCTCACGTTTCTCACCCTACTCTACCATCAGTTTCTCGCGTCCTTTTGTCACTTTTCCCCGTAATTTTTTCCGACGCCCGCTGGACCTTCCCTCGCACAATTCAGGAAAATAAATTGGCAACAATCTTGTGGAAATTGGTGGCACTGCTGCTGCTGTTGCAACTCGCGGGAATCATTTCTAAATTGACACATCAAAAGTTGGCTGCTCGCAGGATGAAAAGTGTTGGCGACGGAGGTGGGAGAGGGGAGGGGGAGGGGAGGGAGAGGGGAGGGGGAGGGGAGGGTGAGGGAGAGGGGAAGGGGGGAGGAGGTGGGGAGAAGAGGGGAAAATAGCGAGCGTCGGCAAGTTTTATTTCGCCTATCCAATCTCAATGAAACGACTCAGGGGCCTCGTTTGAAGGTGCATTAAAATCAGACAAAACTGATTTCTTGATGTTTGAGCGTATGTTTGTGGAGCTGGGAGGCCGCGTTTACCTTGATTGAAGTCAAACAGGACGGTGTGTGGGGCAGTCTGCTTCTGCTGGTGGTGGTGGTTGTGGTGGT